TCTCTCTCTCTCTCTCTCTCTCTCTCTCTCTCTCTCTCTCTCTCTCTCTCTCTCTCTCTCTCTCTCTCTCTCTCTCTCTCTCTGTGTCTCTCTGTTGCCACATTCGTTATATACTAAAAAAAAGCATGATCTTGCCAGACTGTTCCGTCGGACTTTCCCCGACTCACAAGGAGGTTGAACCTGGGCAGACAGTGTGCCCAGGATGCATTTGACTGATGGATAAGGACTCGCCACATCGCCCAGAATTAGCGGCGATGGTGCTGCGATACCCCTGAGAAAAGTGATTGATTTCACTCACACCAACCCTGCAATCCTACACACACACAATCAGTTTTATGTATGTGTTTTCCACTTTCCAAAGCCTTTTCCTTCTGTGTGCCTAGGTGAACACCTTTAAGAAAGAGCTAAATAGTGAGTGGTTGGTCGTTTGGAGTGCCTGCAGGACTCTCTTAGGGGGGGCTTCTCTGTCTGTGATGTCTGTGGTGCATATATGGTCTTATGGGTGATGATAGACGTCTGTCAGAGTGCCTTCCTTTTTTTTTCTTTTCCCCTCCTGGCTCAGCAGGTGGTGGGAACCTACAGTCTGCGGGCCCTTCTTGTGGTGTGAGTAGGTCTTGAGTGGCTTTGCTCCATGTTGGATGTGTGGACTGCCTTGCTGCCCATCGCCCATCGCCCATGTGCTCCTCATGTTGGTTTTTGCAGCTGGTGTGCTTTTGTGTAGTTTGGCTGCGTTGTTGCTGTTGCCTTGTGCCTCGCTGCACTGTCGCCTTGCTGTCCATCCCCGTGCCTCCTTTTGCCATGCCCTTTGCTTGTGCGACGTGCAGTTTTGCCGCTGCTGCAGCGCTGCCATCATGCTGCCAGTCCGCTTGCACTGTAGTAGTTCTGATGCTTTGCAGTTGTGTTGCCCCGGCAGCGTTGCGTGGTGCTTCTCCGAGTCGTCGCCTACTGGCAGTCTGCTCTCGACAAGGATCAAAGGGTTCGTGACCCAAAGCATCAATATGAGGATTCCGCAGATTGCCGAGGGTTCAGCGTCCTGACGAGTCGGTGCAACTCCGACGAAACAATCTTTCGTCATCAGTTTTTTTTTTTTTTTTTTTCCGGTCTTTGTTTCTTGCATTGTGCTGTCTGGTTGTCTGCCCACCCAGCTCCCCTCTACCCTCCAGCATATGTCCCTTGTTGCTGCTTGCCGTCAGATGTCTTGTTGCCTCATGCTTTTTGCTTCACCGTTGTTTGTCTGCTGTTTAGTCTGGTACACATTCTTTTTCTGTCTTTTGCATGCCAAGTGGACCTGCTTTTTTTCCTTCTGTGGAGTTGCTAGGCTACGAGCCGGGTCGCCCGGGTCACCCTATATTCCCGGGCAGTCCGGCCGTGCAGGGACCAGGGAAGGTCCCAGCAAAAAAAAAAAAAAAAAAAAAAAAAAAAATCCAACAAAATCCGAAAAAAAAGTATGTTATGCAGAAAAATAAACTGAACAACTTTTGCCTCAGGGTCACATCGAAATTCGTTACCAGATTTAAAATAAAATTTAAATTTCAAAATTTTAAATTTTAATAAAAAATGATTTTTAATTTTTCTTTTATTTTTTTTTGGGCCCAGCCGGGCAAGTGGTCCCGGGCTATTCTGGTAGCCTAGTGGAGTTGTGTATGGGACTCTATTGCGTGGACTATCCCCAGTGCCATCATCCACCACATCCTCTCCTACGCATACAGCACGTCCCACATGCGGTGTTTGGTCATACAACATCCTCTCCTATCCCTATAGCACGTCCCACATGGGGTGCTTGGTCATACACCTACGGCAACTGCAGTGGGAAGGAATTCCTTCTTCCTTGCCTGACAAACGATGGGCACAGCAGCCTGACTCAGAGGAGGAAAATAGATGACCATACGAACCACCTACAGAGCGCTATTATAATACTGATAGGTTGTCTCCACCAGGGCGAGCTGTTGCAGACCAAATCCTGCAGTCGCTGAACGCCCTTGCTCCACCGGAGATTCAGCTAGCGTGTGGTTCGCATGCCTTATGCCGTAAGGATTATGAAGGGATATCCCGGGCGAGCTTTTGTCTTCATACATAAGATGACAGTGCACTCATGTAACGACACCCTGACACGTCATGTCCAATTTTGTAGAGGGGTGCTGGAACGGCAATTATATGCCTCTGCAATTGCGGTCGACGTGCCTGTGCTGCCAGCATGTAGGAGCCATGTAGCCTGTGACATCTTTTATTATTATTATTATTATTATTATTATTATTATTATTATTATTATTTTTTGGGAGTAGCCAGTGACATCTTGTCGACACTGTGCCATTTTTGATGCAGTAGCTGTGACTCTGAGAATTGGATGCGGTGCGTCCACACGCCACGCCCAAACCGGTCCTGCCCGGTCTGTCGAGCTGGCCATTTACCATAGGCAACAACTACCCCTCAATTCAAAATATAATGCAACCCACACACTGATTGGCCTCTCATGTGCCATTCTAAGGTGGTCTGCCCCAGCGGTTACGTTCTAGAACCCTGCCAGAACTCCCTCCACCTCCCATTTCCTTCCTCCCTCCTCTTGTGTATTACTCGTAATACATCCAAAAAAAAAAAAAAAAAACTAGTGATACGTATTGTATACGAATGAGCATCATTACGAGAACATAGAAAATATAATTTGACGATCTGAGAAGAAATGAACAGGAATACTATACCTCCGCCGTTGCTTTGCCTCTTTTCATAGTGTGCAAGCGGACCGTTATGGCACACGGGGATGTGGGCAAATCGCGCTCAACCACAATCAACGTGGCGAGCCTTGTGCACGAGTGGCACGGTAAAGGGGGAGCTGCGAGAGTAAATGCAAGGGGTACCCCAAAAAGAAAGCAAATGTGACCACATCAAGGAAGTGGGGTTACATGCAGCAGTTACTGTACTCCTTCATCATCTTCATGTTGCTTGCTATTGAGGTGAAACTGTTTCATGTTTGGGTTGTCAGAACTCAAGGGCTTTCGTCTTTCGTTGTCTGTAATAGGATTATTAAATAATAAATATGCTTTGATTTTGGATCTGTTGATCAACTTCATCTGGGTGGAATAGGGGCTGTTGTGGTGGAAATTCAAAACACACATCTATCAATTCACTGCTCGGCGCTCGCTCTATTTATTTGTATGCCCATCCACCGTTCAGTCGGCTATCCGTTTGCCGGCCCCGCGGTCGGTCGGCTGTCGGTTGGCTGGTCTGTCGGTCAGTCAATTGATCAGTCGGTTGGTTCGTTGGTCACTTGATCTGTATGTTGCTTTCTGTTTGTCTGTCTGTCTATCCACCTGTCTCACCACCACCTGTTTGTCACACCCTCTCTCATTCCTCTCTCATTCCTCTCTCATCCCTGCTCCATCCTTGGTTGGTTGAACTGCCGGTCTGTCTGGCGGTTGGTTGGTCAGTCTGTCGGTTGGGCGATTGGTCAGCTTCTTGGTAGGTCAGTCTGTCAGTCAATTGACCAGTCTGACTATGGCTCAGGCAGTCTTTTTCTCAGTCCAGCCCTTGGGCGTCTGTTGGTCTTTCGGTTGTTCGTTTGGTTGGTTGAATTGTTTGTGCGCCTGTCTGTTTGTCTGTCTATAGATCTATTCGTCTATTCGTCTATCTATCTATCTATCTATCTATCTATCTATCTATCTATCTATCTATCTATGGATGGATGGAGGGGGGGAGCAGGGGAGGGAGGGAGGGATGGGACAGGATGGGATGGGATGGGGTGGGTGGGAGGAGAGGGGTGGGAGAGAGGAAGGGAGGGGAGGGGCTGGGAGGGGTGGGACGGGAAGGGATGGATAGATGAATGGATGAATGGATGGATGGAGGGATGATGGGATGGATGGATGTGTTCAAATGGATGGATGAGTGGGACGTGATGGGATGGGATTGGATATGATGGGGTTAGACGGATTGGGTTAGGAGAACTTTGGATGGATTGGGATTGGACGCACTGGGTTTGGATGGATTGGGTTGGATGGGTTCGGTTGGATTGGATTGGATTGGATTGGACAGGATTGCACTGGATTGGGTTGGACGGGTTGGATGGCTTGGGTTGGATTGGATTGGATTGGATTGGATTGGATTGGATTGGATTGGTTTGGACTTGGTTCAGTTGGATTGGATT